TTCCCTTTGGATTTTTTTACCACAGAGAGCAGCTTTACACTGTAGAGCTTAGAAGGTCAGCTTGCAGAGGTATTCACAAATAAACAGCTCTTGGGTTTCAGGTAGACTGAGGTCCTTCCAGACCCATAGAGGTTCTGGCAGCCACAGTTATATGGCTCCTGTGTACAAGTGGTTTTTATACAGGTGCTTCTGTACACAGAGCATTGCTGTGTGTAATAATGACATTATTAGGGTGGTGTTGCTTTAAAAATAGCCCTTTGACCAGTTTTCACCCAGGAAAACTAGTTTATGTGATTTGCTCCAAATGACACTTTTGTTCTTCCCACTCTAAGGACAGAATTAAATTACATACACTTTCCTGACAGCAGGAGAGGATGTTCTGGATGGAAATGCTACTCAGCATTACACAGTGCCCACTGATGCACCAGAAACTCTTCCACGGACTTCACCAGCCACGGATGCACCGTGAGAGCAAATTGTAATGCAACACGAGTCACCACCTGACTTTGATCATAACCCGTAAAAGGACAAACCACAACTTGTTTAAAAGGTCAGGATTGAAAAATGTCATCTTGGACTTGACCAGCATCCAGTAAGGCCACTAAAGATTAACAGCAAAACCCTTTAACGTGAGCAGAAGTTACCCCAACACGAGTGGTTTTGCAGTATTTATGATGCTGATGCACTCTCAAGAACTACCACGCTCGTTGCTGCAAAACATCCTTGTAGGCAAACTGGGGAAGTGAGGGCTGGATGAGTGGGCAGTGAGGTGGATTGAAGAACAGACCCCAGAGGGTTGTAACTCGTGGCAGAGGGTGAGGTTGGAGGCCTGTCACCAGTGGTGTCCCCAGGGTTCACTGCTGGGCCCAGAATTGTTTAACTTGCTTGTCAGTGGCTTGGATGAAGGGGCAGGTGCCTCCTCAGCGAGTTCACTGGTGACACAAAGGTGGGAGGAGTGCCCAACACAACAGGTCCTCCCTTCAAGAGGACCTTGACAGGCTGGAGAGATGGGCAGGGAAGGAAGGACTGTCTGAAATTCAAACAACAGCAAACGCAGGGTCCTGCACCTGGGGAAGAATCACCCCAGGCACCAGCACGGGCTGGGGAATAACTGCTGGAGAGCAGCTCTGGGAGAAGGACTTGGTGGACAAAAAGCTGTCCCTGAGGCAGCAGTGGGTCCTGAGGGGCCAAGGATGCCAGTGGGATTCTGGGATGCATGAGGAAGAGCATTGGCAGCAGGTCAGGGAGGTGATCCTGTCCCCCTGCTCAGCCCTGTGAGGCACATCTGCAGGGCTGGGTCCAGTTCTGGCTCCTCAGGACAGGAGGAACAGGGAGCTGCTGGACTGGGTCCAGGGGAGGGTGATATCTGAAAGGATGGAGCATCTCTGGGAGCAGGAAAGGCTGAGGGAGCTGGGGCTGTTCAGCCTCCAGAGCACACACTGAGAGGGGACCTCCCCCAGGTCTGTGGGGTCTGCAGGGAGGGGGCAGAGGATGGACCAGGCTCTGCTCGGGGGGGCCCAGCAATGGCACAAGAGGAACGGGCAGGAACTGATGCCCAGCAAGTTCCACCTGCACAGGAGGAAGAACTTCTTTGCTGGGCAGTGACCCAG